CACCTCACGCAACCAAAAATCACACTTTGAGAACTTAGCATAAAGCTTTTCTGCCCTTAGAGTCTCCAATACATCCCTCAAATGCTACCCGTGGTGCTCCTTGGTCTTAGAATAGACGAAAATATCATCGATAAAAACAATCACATACTGATCTAACATCGGTCTACATACTCTATTAATGAGGTCCATGAACGTTGTTGGGGCATTGGTGATCCTGAATGGGATTACCACAAACTCGTAGTGGCCGTATCGAGTTCTGAAAGCTGTCTTCGGTACATCCTCATTCCTAATCCTCATCTGATGGTACCCTGACCGAAGATCAATCTTGGAAAACCAAGATACATCTTGAAGCTGATCAAACAAATCATTGATCCTCGAAAGTAGATAAAGGTTGTACACCGTTATATTTTTCAGCACCCGATAATCGATGCACATCCTGTGCGACCCATCCTTCTTCTTTACAAATAGGATCAGTGCTCCCCACGGAGAGTTGCTTGGATGAATAAACCATATGTCTAGCAGCTCCTGAAGCTGCGTAGACAGCTCCTACATCTCAGGCAGAGCTTGCTGGTACGCTGCCTTGGCTATCGGAGCAGCACCCAACACTAAATCAATGCGAAACTCTACCAGCCTCTTCGGAGGCACCCCAGACAACTCCTTAGGGAAGACATCCCATAAATCTCATACAAACGGTACATTACCCAAATCTGTCATGGAATAAACCCTTGTATCTGAGATGTATGCCAAAAATCCTGAACAACCCTGATGGAGAAGTCTCCTAGCCCTCGCAGCCGAACAGAGAGTTGGCCCCTGCGACGTCCTCTCACCCTGAATCATCAGTTCTTTCTCACTTGGTGTTCGAACTCTCACCAGCACGTGCTCGCAGTCTATCATGGCCCCATTGGCACCCAACCAGTCCATCCTGACAATCACCTTCAACCCTTGTAATGGTATCGGAACCAAATCAACACCAAACCTCTCTATAAACACATCTAGGACATAGTCCTGATATACCCTCGTAGCACTCACGGTGCGGTCATCCAAAATCTCAACCTTCAGTGGGGAATCCAAAGTCCCCAGAGCATCCCAAAACTTCTTGCTAAGCACAAGAGATACGAACGATCGGGTAGCTCCCATATCGAAAAGAACATGCGCTGACATACTGTTAACCACAAAGGTCCCTATACAAGCACACACACACACACATATATATATATATATATATATATATGAGTATACATACATACATATATATATATATATATATATATATATATATATATATATATATATAAGGATAACAATAAATATCAATAGGAAAAATAGATCACGTACCAGCCACAATGTCTGGCGCTGCCCGAGCCTCCTCGGTTGTCAGCTGAAAAGTGCGACTCTTCACCACGAGAGCTTCTGCCTTGGTTGGGCGGCCATAAGTGATTCTCAATGTGGTGGATGCAGGCGCCACCACCGCACCCCTTCCTCCCTGCAACCTCAGACAATTGACCTTTATACGGCATGTCTGGTTGCATTGGAAACAAATCAATCCCTTCTTGGGCAATCCCTGCTCATGTGGCCCGCCTATCCACAAACGTAACATTCCGAGCCCGCTGCTCGACAACCCCCAATGTGCGGCTTACCGCACTAGGCACACCAACCACAACCCTAAAAAGCTCATGAAGTTGCGTATATAATCCCTTAGCATGGAATGATAACTCGTCCTCCTCATATCCTCATCCGCAGCATACTGCAGAATCAATAGTGCTCGTTCCCGAAACTTGGCTGTGATCTCTAGCACAGTCTCGGTGGTCTGTTGTAGCTCCTGAAACTCCCTCACTAAACCTTGCACCTCAATGGATGGTGAAAACTCCAAGTCAAAACGCCTGACAAAATCCTCCCATGATATCTCAGCCACTCCAGCTGATCCCACCTAGTAGGTCACCTCCTCCCACCAGTCCCTGGCTCGGTCCCTCAACATGCATGAAGCAAACCCACTTTTCCCGCCTCGGGGCAAGAGCTCGTGTGCTGGGCAGTCTCCATGTCTGCCACGCTGCATCGACTAACTATGGGGTCCCTAACCCCGACAAACTCAGGTGCCCTACACGCCTTGGACTCACGGTAAGAGGGAGTTCAGGCCCTAATCTGGTCCGCAACAATCTCAGCTCGGAAAGACCTGAGCCGCTCCTCTGTGATCTCCATCAATCCCTCCTAGAAAGTCCTAAAAATCACTGTAGTAGCGTCAAGAATGACCCTCGTAACCTCGATTGCGATAAGCCCACGCAACCTTTCGTCAATGGGCTCCGTAGCATAGCCCGACCCAGATCCGGATTCTGATCATAATCCTGATGCTGATACTGATCTATGTGCTCCATGTCGCATCACCACCATTTCGATCTAAAATACCATCAGACATAATGATCAATATATTCAAAAAGGGGATCCTTCCACACTGGTCTCCTAAGAGTTTCCAGATCCAGCATTAGTTCGGGTACAAGTCCTGTGCTATCAGTAGTACGAGCCCAATACCACCTTCCACACCTACCTGTACCTTCCTCAATGCTCCATCTGATAACTCTAATTCGTCCCTAAGCAAAATATATCTCACAACTACCATATAACTCAAATCCTAGGCTAGCCTAAGATTTGCTCCATTCCTATCAAAGCAGAACTCAATCAATCATAACAGACTGCCTTATGTATGCAAATTATACACAGAACAGGATCAAATAGACCGTTAAATAACAGAATCTACCCTAGGACCACAACCAAATGAGGAACATGAAATAAGGCCAAATCATTTATTGCAAGGCTATAAGATCCTAATTGCATACAATTTTTAAAGCATACACATAGCAAAATCCATATGACTATCACATTCCAAATATCATTATAGCATGGCAAACATATACTAGAAACACTTAATTGAGCTTGGCCAATTACGCTTATTGCACTGTCCCTTTTTCTTCCAATAAATCGTTTTTTAGTTTTTATTTTGATTTTGAAAAACAAACTTTCCCATTTCCTCAGTTTGAGTTCTGACACACCTGAGAGTGTGCCTGAATCCCTCAAACCAAGGCTCTGATACCAAATCGTAACAGCCTAAATTTCAAATAAAAATTTTCATTTAAAGTACTAAATAATGCTCATTAATTATAAAATTCCAATCAAAACTATTTCCGAAAAACCACAACATCAGATAAATTATTCGTGAAATCAGAGTGTCCCCAAATAAAAAGCCAGAGAGTGCATGTCGTCCCATAACATCGGGTTCTTGCCTGTAGATCCCGAAATACCTGAAACAACCAACAAACTGTAAACTAACGTTTAGTGATTTCCCAACAACATACCCCACACAATCCATATAATCATATAAACCATATCATCCATACACGCCACGCATACTAACATATGCGGATATCATGGACTCCTATAGGGTCTTACTCCATGATGTTGTGGGCTCCCCTAGGGTCTTATACCTATGTGCCACGGGCTCCCACCATGGTCTTACTTGGAATGCAATGGGCTTCCCCACATGGTCTGATATCCAAGTGACATGGGCTCCCCCATAGTCTTTACCTGGATTGTCATAGACTCCCCCACATGGTCTTATATCCAAATGCCATGGGCTCCCCTCAGGGTCTTCCATGCAAGTATCACAAAGACAACTAGCATATCACTTATCACATAAATAACTAGCATGCCACATATCACATACACAACTGATTGAATGGGTCGGCCTTGATGCCTTCAACCCATTGGTATGGTGAGGAGACTCACCTTAGTCTGCTAAACCTGAAAGCTGCTCGCCTAACAATCCAAAACCACCCGTGCTAAACACTAATACCATTAACCCAAAATTAGGATTAAATAGAATCTAATTGTACAACCCAATATGTCTTTCCTTTAAAAATGGGCTCAAAGTCCATGTCCAAAGTTATTAATGGGCCACATGGACCAATATGGCCTTACCAAAATAACCATGGACCAAAATAGATTAATCAGACCACTAACCCAAAACATGAATATGCCCAAAACTAATTAAGGCCCAAAGGGCTTACAAGCCCCAAAAAGCCCAAACCCATTTGAGTGCGTACACCTTGCAAACCACTCCAGTGCGCTCAACATACTAGCTCCTTCAGTCGTATGTGCTGCGTACATGCTACTACGCGCGGCGTACAAGTCAGACATGCACAAACGACTATTAAGCTCTTAATGCTTGGGATATTAATGTCAAGCTTTAGATCTGAGTCCACTAAGTCGTTTTAAGGCATAAAGTTGGAAACTTTATGCCCTTGCATGCTCCATATGTTCCCAACAACCCCTTATAACGCATTATGACCTTTCCAAGGGTCTTAACTCAGGCATGAGGTCAAAACACGCATCAAGACTGCATTTTTATGGTATAATTGAACTAAGGGACCTCATATCTACTCTTCCTAAGCTCTGGAGTTGCACAAACTCCCAAGAGATGATTCATGAATACAAAAGGGACAATATAGCAAACCCTAGCTCAATCTAATGAATAAGATGGCAAGATTAAGACTTCATAACTCCAAAATCTCCTCAAGGTGAACTAGATGTTGGATCCCGAAGCCCATTGCCACCCCAACCTTCCTTACTGACTTTTTCTTCTTGAATAAGATCCAAAATGGCCGCCAACATACTTCTATGCTCCAAAATCACACTCTCAAAGGAAAAATGAGGTAAAGGGAAAAAATGAGACTCTAGAGGCTGGTTAGGGTTTAGTCCCAATGGCTTAAGGAATTTTAAATAGGTGTCAAGTCCCAGGATTAGGATTCTGAATATTCGTCATGTACGCCCTACGTACCATTTGGTATGCTCAGCGTACGTGCTGACCCTCCGCAATCATGCATCCTTAGTACGCCAAGCGTACTCCTAAATTACGCCCAACGAACTTAAGGGACCATCATGATAAGCTTTTTCATTCAAGGGTACCACGGGTATTTTCCTGATCTCTTAGCTCTCACTCTTTATTGGTGCAGATGACTCAATCTTTGGGAGAACAATTGTCCAAAGTAGAGAAAGATGTGACTGATATAAAATGTTCAACAGTTGTGGATAATGATCATATGATGTTTGGAGACACTCCTCCTACCTCTCTAGGAAATCATCCTCCACATCCACCTCCATCATCAAATCCTCCTCTACCATCATATCCCTCTCTTCGCACTTCCTCTCCTCTACCTGATTCCCCTCTCCAAACTGATGATGCAAAAAAGGGTGAGAAAAATCAAGAGCCAATGATGAATACAGGATCTCCATCTCAGCCTGAAATGTCTAAATCGGAAAGGGATGATAATCAAAAAGCAATTGTTGTAGGTGAACAAGAGAGAAATGAACAACCCATCCCAAATGTTGATGCAACAAATAATGACCAACCTATTACAAACTTTGGTGATCAGTTTAAGACTAATAAGTATGAAGGGTTTCTTGATTTGGGGTTTATAGAACAAATTGTTGTTCCTTTGAGCGTTGTTTACCCTGATACTTTTTTTGAGGGCGGGGGGGGGGGGGGGGGGGAAATGAAGTTGAAGTAGGAAGTTCCTCTACTGTTGGTGGTTCTTCAGTCCCTTCTCCCAAGAAATCCAAGCTAATAATTGATTTGGAGGATTTAGCTATAGATTAGAACATGACTATTGAAGAAGTCAGAGAAATTATGGTGGAACATAATGCCTCAGTTCGAACAAGAAAAGAGGAGTGTCAATCTATCAAACTTGCTCAAAACCTTGCATTAACTGATGCTCAAAATACCAATATTCAACGTTTCAACATTGATGTAGCCAAACAAAATAGAGTCTTTTAGCTAAATGATGTCACACCCTGAACCAGACGGCGGAAACATCTGGGGGCTCGTGTGACTAACAATTGAATAATCATCACAATAAATATACATGAAACATAACACATTCATCACCAACATTACATAATACAACCAACATTGTTTACATCAAGTACATTGTAAAAAATACATAAGTTCTAACTGTTAAAAATACGATAAGTGATGTTACATAAACAAAACCATACACACTTGCAAATCTTCCAGCTTAACGATTACCTGAGAATACAAGTTATTTTGAAAACGGTCAACATATATAATGTTGGTGAGTTTATAAGTATGGTTGAATTTGTCTTTGTATCTTTCGTAAAAACCCAGAAAATCCAATATTTTCTATAAATTGTCTGAAAATGATATGAAAATCAAGTATGATTGCATGTGTGAATTTCATAGTTATAACGTATATGGGTGTAGTTTAAATTCATTGCATCGTGAATAATTGATAAATGTATATGAATATTTTTCCCAAAAAATATGATATTTTCTTTCTTATAACAATGTCTAGGTTCTTGTATCGTTGATTAAGTTGTTTCATATTGACATAATTAAAGAATTAGTCTTCTATGTGTTTAAATGGTGTTGAATCCCTACATGAGTCGTTATAACCATGCATGATAATGACTAAGGCGCCCGTCTTGGCATTTTTCCAAATGCCGGCATTGCTCAAGATTTTGTCGCCCTAGACTGGCCTAGTCTACCTATAGCCAACAACTAAGGTGTGGGGGGTCACCCTGTATAGATCTATACACAAACTCTTGTTTTCCCTCCAGGAAACTCTGGTTATATCTACAAGCTATGATTGTACACTCAAAGGTTCCAACTGACAAGTCTCACTAGATTCTCAACCTTTCTCGTTCGATATGTTTTTCCCTATGTTTAAGGTTTCACGCATAGGTTATAGATTTTTCATTCCAAAGGTAAGTACACGAATTCATAAACTATGTAGAGGTATATTTACGATTTATGAAGTTTGTGAAGTTTTTTTATTCCAAGCCCAATTAGCATGTATATGGGCCAAAAGGTCCAATAACATAATAAAAAGGTAATTTAGGCCCAATAGGCACGTAAATGATCCACAAAGACCAATTAAACATGTAACCCACGAATTAGACCCAATTAACATGTAAGTGGGTCGTAAGGCCCACTAAACATGTCATAGAAAACATTGGGCTCAATATACACTCAAATGAGCCCTTTGGGTCCATTGGCCAAATAGTGTGAATATTAGGCACAAAAAATAGTTATCGACGTTTTTCATCAATTTGTTTTTGTTCTGTGGTTTGTTTTAGCTCGATATAACTAGATTGATGATAAAAAGTCTTTTTTTTTTTTTTTTTTTTTTGTAAAAATGACATTTTTGGCCAATAATCCTTAAATTTTTAATTTAGACCCAAAGTTTTGTAAAATTGACAGTTTAGTCCATAATTTATAAAAATTTATAATTTTGACCCAAAGGTTTAGAAATTCATGGATTTAACCCAAAACTTCATATTTTGGCATTTATGGGTCTGTTTCACAGAAAATTTCATCTGTAGCCCCTTGTTTATAAAAGTTGACGCTTTTGGCCCCATTTTTGATAAAAGTTACATTTTTGGTCCAATTTAGGAATAAATGTTATTTTCACTCGAAAATTTGGTTTATTTACGTTTATGATCCAAACTTTGGCTTATTATCATTTTTAACCCAAAAACATCATTTTTCGCAATTTGGGCCCCAAAAACCGCGAGGCCCAAATGTTGGCCCATTAACCTTAAATTTTCATTTTTGACCCTTTGAAAGTATGTTTATCATAAAAGTCCCATTTTTTCACATGTAGGACCTATTTGGTCCCTTCAAAAACGTGAATTTCACTTTTACCCCTTGTCTTTTGTTTTCTTGACAATTTTTGACCTTTAACAAGGTTTTTGTTGAAATCTTTTGAGTCTTAAACATGTAATCACTTTTGGCTTGAACATGTGATGTATATAATGTCATAGTTCATAGATCTTTGCTCAATATTACTTAAAATTTAGAGATTTACTAAGATCTAACACATTTTTACCACATAAGCTAAGAAATCACACAAGACATGCATATAACACATATATCTACACATTTTACTTGTATTTTCCCCCAAAAATCATATGAAAACCGAAAACAATGGGGGGGGGGGGGTATGAACTCGCCTTTGCTTGATGTTTTGTTTTTTGAAGAAGAAGTGGAAGAGATTTTTGGTCTTAGAACACTTTTGATGTAGATATCAAGCTTATGGGGGTTTTCTAAGAGTATGATCACAAAAATGATTAGGAGAAGTGATCTAACATGAGAAAAGAGTTATATAATCTTGGATATGTACAAATTTACCAATAAATGATGATATTCTTGTGAAAATCCTCTTGAAACACAAGCAAAATTTCAAGATTTTGGAGGAAGAAGGAGAAGAATGCATGAGAGTGATTAAGGAAAATGTTTGAAGGAGTTTATGTGTGTGTGTGTTGTGGGTCTCGACCGAGAGTAAAAGAAGAAAGGGGAGAGAGATAGTGAAGTGAATTACATGGGAATATGATAGTCCTTGCATTGATATATGTTGAACATTATGGAGGTGGCACCTCCAAAGTCAACTCCCCCCTATCCACTTCATTTTTTATTTTTTTTCGATGATTATGGGCCAAGATTTTTGGACCAAGGAAAAAGGGTGGAGTAATTTGGGACTTGACTCACCTCTACTCGAGATCTTGGGGCCCAATGATCACTTTTCGACCCAATGGACTCATTGGTTAGCTCACGGCCTATTTTGAAAGAAAAAGGAAGTTTATGGTCCATTAGGGCAATTTAATTCATTAATGGCCCATTAAGGGTAAACTAATTTATTTTGGACCCAAAATGGTCCAAAATGGTAAGTTTTATGAAAGTGGGTCCAATTAGACTCCAAATAGGGTTTCCAATCCTAAAATGGTTGAATTGGATGCTCATTCGTCCATTAGGCCCAATAAGAAATTTCCTAGTCCAATATGGACTTAAACCATGGTTCTTATGGCTTCAGACTCTTTGATTATCATTAATGGTGAATCTACATGAGCATTGAGTGAGATTTACTACGAGTATCTGTTTTGCAATAGTTGAGTGGTTACACGGGAATAGAATTTCCTAGCTAAAATGCTAGTTGTGATAAATGATCAAATCAATCAGAAGAAATTTGGGAATGTTCAAGGTAGAGGATACCAACCTGATCCCATCATCAAAGTTGGATGCACCAAACCGAAAAATTAATCTCTTAAATTGCATCTAGTGAGGAAAAAGACTGAGTATAATACACTGAAGTTATATTTTCTCGTGAATTAGTTATATATGGCTACAACGAGTGGATACAAATTCATGAGATAATTTCTAAACACAAAGGTGTTCATAATTAGGAGGTATAGTTAGCTATTCAAACGTTGATCAACAAATTCAAGAAGCTGGAATTAGTACTTTTAGTTGGTCAATCCCATCCATCCACTTCAGAGATAACTAGAAGGCCCATAATGTCAAAATACACTAAGTTTCTTCTTCCGTATAGCACTCCTTACATCAACAACAAATTGCCAGTTGGTGTTGAGCCAATTCAGCACATGTTCATTTGGGAACCAGAACATAGTATTTTCTATCTTGACAGTCAGAACCAAATGCATTTTCAACAGACTGAAGATCTAATCGATGCTCCAATTGAACATCTGTTCAATCTTCGTCTAAAGGGTATGTGGCATAAAGAACTGGAAAGAGGATATTGTGTGCTGATTTCTTTTGAACTCAATAAGCATCCAACTGATTTCCATCTTGATGATTTCAAGTGGTTAAAGGATGATCTCCTACCTGAAGCTATAAAATTCTCAAATAATGACCTTGATGACTTCGTTGAAGATTAGTTTTGACTTCATCAGATAGGGGGATACTGTAAGGTCACACCTTATGATTGGATAAGTCAAACACTTTACACGCTGACCACCAGCACCAGCAACAACGTCGGCACTAGCTCCAATGCCAACACAATCCCTATCAGCGTCAGTGTGAAGCAAATGGTCTTTATGATCTTTGTATATTAGGTAGTTATATGTATATATAGAGTAGATATTGCATCTGTAATCTTTGTGACTAGGATCGTACCTTTACATGGATAGGCTTACATACCTTAATTAGTAGGATATCAATAATTGTAATCATGTATATTCAACGTTAGGGTGAAACCCTAATATATGTCTAGGTGATCATCTTTGTGACCTTCGTTCTCTTGGTGAGAACATTCTTTCTTAGTGAAATCATCTTTGTGATTACTTGTTTTCTTTGTTTTCTATTTACTCTTTTCTTGGTTAGTTCATTCTTTAATATTCATACTTGAATTGTATCCGATCAATACAAACTTTCTGAAACCATCACCAGAATCCACCACTGCCAGTGGTCACCACCACTGCCACTGGAAACCACAACTAGCTCCGATAAAACAAAAAAAAATCATATTTGAAAAACTATACACACATTTTTCGAATGTGCAAACTCAAGAACAACATATTTCTACAAGCTCAGTTTTTTTAGATCTCAAGAACAAGAATACATTTTTCCATATTTTCAAAATTGAACACCCAAGAATTATTCTATTTTATCCAAACATACACATGGATAACTCCAGACAACAAAATTTGAGTTTTTGAGATGCACCAACAAAAAAATCTGAAAACCACTAGAAAA